ACGCACACCAAGGCCTTTGCGAAGGACTGGCAGACCAAAGCCGAGAGCTGCTACCGTCGCACCGCTACACGTGCCCAGGACGCCAAGGCTTGGTATGACGACCGTGCCCGCCCTCTTCAGCCGCTGGAGATTGGTGCCCTTGCCCGCGTCCAGGACCCGACGACGACACGTTGGGACAAGGTGGGCATAGTGATGGGCGTCGGCCGGTCGCGGGACTACAAGGTCAGGATGCCGAGCGGCCGTGTCTGGTGGAGGAACCGCCGCATCCTCCGGCCAGTCCCACTCCCTGCTGCTGGCCCCCTGACCGAGGACGAGTCACCTACACCTCACGAGGATCCGCCCCACAGTGCACCTCGACGCTCGGAGCGACTTAGGACTAAGAAGTCCGCTCAAGACAGAGACTATGAGCGTGAGGGGGGAAGGAGATGTAGGTTATGTATATAAGCAACTGTGCCGAGTAGCAACCCTGTAAATAGGCTACTGTGCCGAGTAGCATTTATATATATCATCACGTGGCAACACTGCACGTTATGTGGCAACATTGCCCCGAGGCTGCCATATGGCAAGGCAGCCTCAGTCTGACTGTGTGAGCCGCGCTTGGCACACGCTGGTCACCACTTGTATTTCTCTCATCCACAATAAACGGACTCAGTGTTACTCAGTGTTTCCCTAGCCATCACTGCATTCTTCAGGGCACACTAGTAACCTTCAGTGTTGGTAAAGATTAGTTTTAACGTTTCCTGGTTTTTTTACGGGGAATTGTATATTTATTTTTATTTTGGTGTGTGCCGTTTATATCGGAACTTAAATTTCTTTAACGTCCCATTTGGGAGTTTTGCATTTACAGTAGAAGTAACAAACCAATAAAACCTACCTAACTTCCTAGCTGTAGGGCTGTGCTCCTCGGACCCCCTGCCATATTAAACGGAAAGGACTATACAGTACAGTATGCTTTCCTTACCTGGTACCAATGAAAAAAAAAATTAAATGTCACTGTCCTTTTGTTTAGTGGATGTAAGAGTACGCTCAGACAGAGCAGGTCGGTTGTAAGCGGACGACGTGCAGGCGGCTCGTCAGATTTTTGTAAGAGTGTTTACGGTAAATAATAAGTTTTGACATTACCTCCAAAACTGACTATCAAAGAAAGGTAACATAACCTACATATAAAGTTCATATAGCAAAATTATAACTCGTTTATACAAATTTGTGGACGTTAAAACTAGTCTAATCGTGTCAGTGCGATACTTAAATACGTAAGGATAAGCCAGAGTTGAATCTGGCTTCATTTCAATACCCCCATAAATTCATACCATAAATTGGCATAAATTCATTTGGCAATAAATACAACTTGCCCCCCAAGTTATGTGGGCTTCATAATTGTAAGTTGTATTATGATTAAGCTAAAAAGAATTACCAAATGTGAAGTGGATCATTGTCATTCTTAATGGTTAAATTTGGTTACTGCAAGTTGGATTTTTTCAAAGATGAACCTTAATGACTTTCACTTGCAGGTGGTAGATGTATGGAACAGTAATGGCTTGTACTGTGGAATAAAGAAGAGTATGTGGCAGAATTTTTGTGCTAGAGCCGAGTGTGTGCACACTTCTTATGGCGATGTTAAATTTTGCAATACAGTATTTAAAATGGAAGGTGTTGCCAATAGTTAGTTTTTACTAAACTTGAAAGTCGTAGTTCATAGTTGTACCCGGTATACAAAAGTAGATAACCGGTTCTTGGATAAGAATGTACTTTTATGTTTAGTAAGTGAGTGAGACTTGTAAATGTTTGATGGTAATATTTTGTTTATTTTTGAGGAGAGGACTACAGATGGCTAAGTGACTTCCTATTTTAAAGTTTACAATAGTTTATAGGACATTTTAAATACAGTACTGGGGGGCTGTGGCCCTCCCTCTCTTGTAGTACAGTAATTCAAACATTAAAACTTCACAATAAAATTAATGATTGTGGGTTATGGAAGTTGTCTGTAACTTGGTTTCTGGCTTCAGTTTGGGGTGTAGGTGGAGACTGAAGATATGAGGTATAATACAGAACTTTTGGTAATGTTAACTTTAAAATATAGTGAGATAAATTGCGCGCAAAAGTCGTCTGCCTCGGCTGTATACTAGAACATATGTAACTGGCTTAGGTAAATTTACTTTATTGTAAATGTATAGTTTTAGGAGTATTTTATCATTAAACTAGTAGTATTGTTGGTTATTTTAAGTGGGCTGGGCTTTGAGGGCAAATGTGGTGTAAAATAACCCCAAACAACAGGGTGTTATGTTAGTGGCACAGCCAGGGTGTTATGTTAGTGGTACAGCCAGGGTGTTATGTTAGTGGTACAGCCAGGGTGTTATGTTAGTGGTACAGCCAGGGTGTTATGTTAGTGGTACAGCCAGGGTGTTATGTTAGTGGTACAGCCAGGGTGTTATGTTAGTGGTACAACAGGGTGTTGGTGTTAGTGGTACAACAGGGTGTTATGTTAGTGGTACAGCCAGGGTGTTATGTTAGTGGTACAGCCAGGGTGTTAGTGTTATGTTGAATGTTTGGCAGCCAGGGTGTTATGTTAGTGGTATTATGTTACAGCAGGGTATGTTAGTGGTACAGAGGTGGTACAGGGTGTTATGTTAGTGGTACAGCCAGGGTGTTATGTTAGTGGTACAGCCAGGGTGTTATGTTAGTGGTGTTATTAGTGGTACAGCCAGGGTGTTATTTAGTGGTACAAGGGTGTTATGTTAGTGGTACAGCCAGGGTGTTATGTTAGTGGTACAACAGGGTGTTATGTTAGTGGTACAGCCAGGGTGTTATGTTAGTGGTACAACAGGGTGTTATGTTAGTGGTACAGCCAGGGTGTTATGTTAGTGGTACAACAGGGTGTTATGTTAGTGGTACAGCCAGGGTGTTATGTTAGTGGTACAGCCAGGGTATTATGTTAGTGGTACAGCCAGGGTGTTATGTTAGTGGTACAGCCAGGGTGTTATGTTAGTGGTACAGCCAGGGTGTTATGTTAGTGGTACAGCCAGGGAGTTATGTTAAGTTACAGAATTTGTGTAAAGTGATCCCCCAAAATTAGTTTTGTCCATGTTTGTTCAAACTTGCTAAGAATTATTAGTGAATTGTATTATTTTGCATACAAACATTAATGGAATCGTATATTGATACTGTATATGGTAATAGTTGTCAAGAGAATTGAGTAGGTTTTAGCAATCATTCATACTGTGGGCTTCCAGTCTGAGTTTTGGGTTGAAACGAGCTGTGAAAAGTCACACCACGGAATGCAACTCTTTATTATTGGTATATTTTTAATGGCAAAGATATGCAATTTGTAATTCGAGGCTTTAATTTTCAGTACCGTTACAAAATCCTATTTTGGCGCGGAAGTAAAACGCGTTGGTGGGACGCGACCGTAAAGTTAAATTAGAAGGACGAAGTAAATGTACCGGTTAATTTGAATAGTGATAAAGGGGCTAGAGGCATACAGTACAGGTGGGTTATATCTTCTGAGTGATTTGGGTCACAAGGGTCTTGGATTTTGGATACTTTTGTCTCTGGTGTGGAGCAGCCCGTGTGTTGCCCTGCACCGTGCACGTGCCGTACACGTTTGACCCGAATGTTTTTTTTAAATTGTCCCGAAAGTGATGAAATTAGCATAAAATAATTATTCTCATGAATGGTGTAAATTTTGAGAATGTTTGCAGTCATTGCCTATAATCCATTCATCATTTTATAGATTTTTTCAAAAACTTGTGGGCATTTCTACAACCTCCAGATGAACGCAGAAAAGTAATAACTAATTGTGTAGTTTTGCCCAAATTTTTTGAGAATAATGGTATGTTTATTATTTATCCAATTATATATTGCCATTGATATTTTTCGTAGGCAAATATTACAAATTGCGCGAATACGGGAAATAAACACGGCAATATAATGGAATATTGTTAAACTGGGTAATACGAGATCATTGTATCATAACCATTGACATGTAATATTGATATAATTTTACTTAGAGTATCATAAATGTTAATAAATAATGTGTTAAAATGTGAGCACTTATAAGTAATGTAAGGAATTAATTTTCATGTTTATATTAGTGGGAGATTTGCAAAGGTTATATGTTAGCATAATTGTTGAAAAAATGAAACGTCCAGTCTGTTGAACGTGACGTAGCTCTAGACATTCATTTACTGGATAGCACAAAGGAATTAGCATAAAATGTGTGAAATATGACAAGAAATCCTAGATTGTAGTATAATGTTGAAAATTTTTGACGACCCTTTTCGACAGAAAGGTCCGTCCGATCACCGTAAAATGGGTATTTGTGGGGGGAAAAAATTGTGACTCAGTAATTTGTGATAAGAGGGGCCCAAATTGTGAAGGTGTTTAATTTAGTTTGAAATTGGAGAAAATGGAGTAATAGTTTAGTTATAGGCTTTAATATTTGTTCTTTATGGCACAAATAAAATGCATTTTTGTGGATAGTTTGAAATACATCCATCAAATGTGATAGTTTTGGCAGGAAGCATTTGTGGTTTTGTTTTTTATTAATAAAATGCGAGGACCTTTATTAGTGTAAATTTTTATTCCGATTTGTTGGTACTAATTTGTTTTTAATATATCGTACAGGAGCTGTTGCTGTCCGTAACACCCCATCTGTCACCCCGTGTGGTGATATGCTAGGGACTGTCAGTTGGTTGAAAATGTTCAAAGCAGGGCCACCACATTGGTGCCTGCACTTCGGCTACCCCGAGAGATTGGAGCGCCCGAACTCGGTCGAGTGTCCTTACTTGGAGCTGGCGGACGCTCGCCCCACAAGGGGTCACAGCTCAAGATCGAAGAAGCCTCAAGTCCTGAAAACTGTGAGGGCAAACTTTTTCGGAGTGAGAGTTGTGAACTCTTGGAACAATCTACCAGAAAATGTTGTGACGGCACCGAGTGTGAGCTCTTTCAAGACCAGACTTGACCAACATTGGAGCGGGTTCAGGTACATTCAGGAGCCGGTGCATGCCCAGTACTTGCCAACAATGTGTAACAGAGACGTGACCGATCGCCCAAGCGGCTAACAAGCCGATCAGTGGTGAAGAGGATAAAAGAAAAGTAAAAGAACATGTAGGTAATAAGAGCCAGTACAGCTGTAAGTATTGTACAGTATTGAGGAAGACTGGTTAATTTTTTACGCTTTAGATAGAATAGGTTTAATATTTGACTAGTATGTGTGTAAAATACTGGATCAAAGCAATACAGTAATTGTTTAAATAATAATGTACAGCCATAAAGTTGTCTAATATGTAATTATTTTGACTCTTCCAGGTAAAATGGGAAGAGACGTCATTCAGTTCCTACTGTCGTTGGCGACTGCGGCGTCGGCAATGCAGTGTTGCACCGGTGTGTTTTTCTATTTGTTACTCTGTTTAAAATCCCAGGTTACGTTTATGGAGATTATATATGGCAATTACTAAAGGCGTTCCCGAATTATACATTTTGGGTAAAAAAAAATGTGCCACAATGAAATGGTTGCATTGTATACTAACGATGGTGTTACTTCGTAGTTGTAAGGTTTGAGAAGTTGATTTGTCGGTCTACCTAAATGAGTCGTGATTCCCACCCCTCGAGGAAAGCGTAAAAATATTGCCAAAAAAATAAGACCTGCTCGGTTATATTGTGCTATAAAAGGTTAGAAAGAAGTTGGTATGTCACTCGGTAGAAATGAAAGCGGTATGTGTTTCCCACATAAGTGTTCTCGTATCTTACCCCACTTAACGGCCTCCCTGGACTTTACCATAAAGATTTGTGAAGTTGTTTGTGTCATTGGTGTAAATTAGTTTGGAAAGGTTTAATAAGTATTGAGGGGGAGGGGAATGGTCGGTCTTCGGTGTCATCCACGAACCCCGAGACTGTCGACGACATAAAATTGGGAAAGACTATTTGTCATTGAGCTGTAAATAGGTAGAGGTGGCAAATGTTGGTTCTGTAAAAGGTGGTGTGTTGTGAGGAAGTTTATTATCTCTAGTTTTGGTGGTTGTCGAATGATGGCGAGTGGTCTGTGCTGGAGTAAGTAGAGGTGACGTGTTGTAATTTGGAGTAAAAATGTTTTGGCCAAAGATAGTGTATTGTGGAGACATTAATTTAGAGAATAGATGGATAAAGTTTTGATAGTTGAAAAAGTAAAAAATTGAGGAAAGTCTGGAAAATAGAATGTATAAGTTTAATTGTTGAAAAGTCCATGAAGGTAGGTAAATAAGTGAAGGTTTAATTGGGGAGTTAAGTGGCTTGATAATGAATCAGAAATGTAAAATATCGCCTAAGACACATTTGAATCGGATGGTTCGTTGACGGTTTTATTTCTTCGGTATAAACCAGTGAAGCAATTAGTTCGTGGGAACAGTGAGTCAAAATACTTCACATCAGCTTCGTTTACGACCTCCAGCTGATATTTACTTCTGTTGTCTATATCAATCACATTTTATAATGAAAACAAAAATATGGTTAGTTACTTAAAAATGAAAAAAATCATACTTAGATACTTAAGAGTGAGGAAAAAAGATACTTAAGATACTTAAAAATGAAAACACTCTTTGATACTTAAATTAGGACAAAATAAACGGACATAAAGATTTAACTATGAGCGGTGGATATTACGACATGTACCGGCTATCAATACAGAGGCGCTATTTAGCCGTGAAGTTCTCTCAGAAACTCAACAAGACAATATGTGGTCACGTAAAAATTTCAGGTTAATTTTTAACACCATCCGTCATTTTAAACCTTGGCACCTGTAGATTAAGAAAATATATGGTGATATTTTTTCTGATGGGATAAAGGTCGTATTTGTCCAGAGAAGTAAGAGAGGAAAAAAATCACTTGAGAGGCATGACGCACAGAGTGTCTAAGGTGATAAAAGATCATATACTACCATTTGGGTTTTCAAATTTAGTTCATTACATAAAATATCAAACTCATAAAGATTACAAAAGAACAGAACACCATGAGCTCTCTACAGCTATTGTCAGCCGTCAATATGCTGATGTACAGAAGCTACACAATGTTATTGGTGACTGTAATCCCAGGAAAATGATGTTCTTTTAAACTTGGTAACTGGAGCTGTAATGCCAGAAAATGCCAAATATGACAATCTATGTGCATATGAAGTTGGAAGACAAAATTATGAAAATTTTGTCAAGGAACGTATTGTTGGTCCATTGAGCATCTGGGAAAAGCTGTCCAAGGTTAATCTTCTGTCGTGGAAAGCAGCAAATAAGACTTCAACCATCAAATTGCTATCACAAGTTATAGAACTTAAGCAGGACATACAGTATATGCATCACAGAAGGGCAGCACTGTACATATCAAGTCACCAGACACTGATGTGTTTGGCATATTAAAGCAGCCTCAACTTGGAGAAAATACAAGTATGATAACAGGAACTGGTGAGCGACGACACATTGGGCAGAGAGCCTTACAGGTTTCCATGCCTTCACAGGATCTGACTGCATTGGAAAATTTTTTGGCAAAGGAAAGAAAGCATGTTGGAGCACTTTGATGAAATCTAACACAAAAGTCCTAGATGCATTCAAGATGCTGAGTAGACCAAATGCCCTCCAGCAGACATGTATATTGGTCTAGAGGAATTTGTATTTAAGCTCTACTGTCCACGAATGACTTTCACTAAACTGTCAAAACTTAGATGGCATCTCTTCAAGATAACGCAGGCAGAAGCTGGAGAACTACCAGCGACTGCAGCAACTCTAAAGTATCATATATTGAGAGGAAGGTATCAAGCTCTTCTGTGGTCTTGTGATGCAGACAGTGAAATGCTTTCACAATTAGAGCATGGCTGGAAGATTGACAATGACTGTTTCATACTAGTAATATCAGACCAACCACCAGCTCCAGAAGCAATCACAGAACTTGTTAAATGTGGATGTGGCGTCAGGAAATGTGGATCATTGTCATGTTCATACAGAAAGAATCAGAAAGAATAGCATGACATGCACCGAGATGTGTAACTGTCAAGCAGATGATGAGAAATGCCTAAACAAGGTGAAGGAATCTGTTGTACACAGAAGACTCTGATGACGAGGACTGAAGCAATGTCGTAAATAATAACTTGTGACTTGTATACACATGATGTATAACACTACAAACTTTTAATAAATATAAAACGGTGGTTCTAAGCTTTTCAGATAATGGTAATATGTATATGTTTAATTTCCAGTATTTGTCTTTAGCAAATAATATTACTTACTGCAATCTCTTCTTTGCCAGAGACAGGATGGCATATTAGGGTGTGTCATACGGAGGCGAATTTTTTTTTTCAGTTTGAAAAATCGGCCCATGGTATTAATGATGTAGTTCTATGTGCAGAATCATGTGATATCTTCAGATTTGAAAAGTTTTTATGTTTTGCTAGGTAAATTGTAACTTGAAATCTTATGAAAATTCAGTACTCCCACCCTTTTACCAACACCACTAAATAGCTTATTTAAAGTAAAGTAAATGTATCAGGTTAATTTATTAGGATGAAAATGATCCAGAATAGTGAAACGAATGATCTTGACACATTTATTAAATTTAATATTCCTTTAGAAAACAAAATCATCAAATACAAAAACCGATTTTACTACTACGACCCGGTGTTGCTGCACACCATAGAGAACATGTCTTTCTTGCTTCTTTTTCTACTCATCACCTCCCTGCTGACCACCTGAGCTCGGATGTAGCCTTCCCTCCTCTCCTGGCTGTACACGTGACTGCTGGCCTCGCTCACTTGCTGTACACAACGCTCTATACTCTGGGTGTGCGAGGGCCAGGCAGGGACATGCATGGGGTTGTCCAGGAAAGCTTTGACTTGAACATTGGTGAGGCTGCAGGTAAGAGGGGGCTCACTGCCAGCCTGGATGTAATCCAGATCTATGAGATCAGTGAGGGTCCTGGCACCTAGATTGACTTCAGGAGTCTTCCTGACCCTGAAGGAATCGTCACCAACTGATTCGTCATGCCCAGATCCTCTCATAAGTCTCATATCCAAGATCTTTTTGACTGCCACTCTTCTCTCCTCCTCATCCTTACTGCAGAGCATTGTCTGCAGAACTGCCTCGGGATGAGCATACCAGGAAGATCTCCTCACAGTCTGATCCACAATCTGAACAACCTTCCTTGGCTGACTCCTCAGGAGCTCAAGCTGGAAGAGAACATGCCTCGGACCTTCGGAGAACGATGACTTGACCTTGGTGTTGAACCAATTTGGCAAGTAGACACTCACGATGAATTGGACAATAAGTCTCAGGTTGTGAAGCTGGTTCCCTTTCAGTTTATGATGAGCGACCCAAATTCTGCAGAACCTGAGAGCCGTTGTGAGCCACCTAGAATGTGAGACTGGACCTATCTGCAGGTAAGCAAGTTTATCAGGCATGACCCCAGTTTTGATGGCACTGCAAATCATGTAACCATAGTACTGGTCAGTACTCAGGTCGTCAATGACAGTATGTGCAAGCTCAACGAGTGGAGGGCCAACTGTGATTTTTTCTTAAAGCTCGGATTTATTTCAACTCAGTGGCAGAGTCCAGCATCTTGCCAAGAGGACCAGACCATCTGTTGTTTGAAAGAGTTCCTGCCATCCAGCTCCTGGATCAGGAGATGTCTGAGTGGCAACTCGTTGGTGTGGAGGTCACAACAATCCAGACCAGCTTCCTCCCAATCTTCCGGCTCTATCCACTGTGGGCGACTCCTTGCCACCCTGTGTTCGTGCTGGTGCTGTCCCCTCCAATGGCCTGCAGGGTCTGGTCTACGTTCCTCTCTCTGAGCCAGTTCACAATGTTATCTGCCACTATCTCAGCTGGTTTCTTGATGTCATCTTTCTCTGGAGTGAAATGCCACAAATACTTCCCTCCTGGTTCACTGCAGCAGGAGTAGTGTTCCTCCTTCACCATGGCAGGGAACAACTTGTCAGAATCTCCAACTTTCATGAACACTTTAGTGTCATCCCTTCTCCCATCAAAGAACAAACAATTGATTCCATTTTCTCTTATCCCCTTATCAAACTCCTCTTCTAGGTTACTGACAAGTTTCTCCTGAGCTCTCCTTACTTTGTTATGATCTATCACCAGGTGAACATCATCAGGTGTTATCAGACCACCGTCAATCCAGGCAGCTGTTGTTATCTCTGCAGTTTCTCTGAGACCAGTGTGGTGTCGCATGCTGGCCAGAGCTATGCTCGATATCTTTCCTATTTCCTGAATCTTATGCCTGGAAGGTTTGGGATCATTATTTTCTGGGTTAGGGACAAAGTCACCATTCTCCTGGTCAGCACTCGGATCAGCCATGGGGGTCATTAAACTCTGAATCAGCTTGACTCCAATCATCGGCCTTTTACCTCACCCTGGCCTTCTCAAGTCTCTTTCCTCGGCAACTCTTTCTCCCTTCTGTCTCTCTGTGGTGCCTCCTGTCTCTTGACTCCGGAATATCTTAGAAATCATGAGAGCCCCTATACTGCCAGTCTTCTCTCTCTGTGTTTGACAAATGCCAGTTCGATCACAGGAATCTTCAGTTCACGCTTGCAAATACAGGAGATGTGGGCCTCGGATTTACAGTCACGATCGCA